TTTTTTTTTTTTTTTTTTTTTTTTTTTTTTTTTTTTTTTTTTTTTTTTACCAAAAAATACACCCACAAAGAGCAGTAAAGTATAGAATGTTTCCAGTTTACCTTTGGAAAATATGAATGGATGTGTTTTTTCCTATTTTAGGATCATTCTGCCATTGGCTGCTTCATCATGGAACAAACCATCTTTTATCCTCAGCGCACAAGCGTTTCTGACAAGCTGAGGAGATAAAAATTAAACACCACGTCGTGGTCTGTAATTAGGTTCTTCATAAGGAGTAGAATTAAAAATATCACTGAGTAAATCGTCTGTCTGCCCATATTGTAGCGGAAACGCTTCAGTCACCTTCGCCAGTGAAGGTTGGTCCGCTCTCCGTCAGCAGAGGAGGGAGGGTCAACATGGCGTCCGAGGAGGTCCGTTATGTTCTTTATTTGCTCTTCTTCTCACATTTTATTAAGCCTTCTCTTCATGTTCCTCAAAAAGAGTAACCCGGAGTCATTGTTAGTGATAAAGTGTTTAGGTTAAGGTGGTTTATTTAAGCGTGGCGTGTTTTGTTGCCGCTGTGGATGGAAATATGAGTGCAGCCTTATGAATGTTGGCCTTCGCATCGATGTTTTTAAGACATGAAACTTGTTTTCTCAGAAAGACTTGCTGTTTGAAAGCGCCACTGTTTTTGCTCTTAAAATAGGACGCAACTTAAATGTTTATGAGAGAAAGGACTTCATATCCGTTTCGTCACTATTAAGAGCGTAGTTTATTTTTAGTTGTGATGACCACAGTCAGGCTGTCGCTGAGCATTTAACACCCATACCGACGCAGAGATTTGGTTATGTATGTTATGATAAGCATTTAAACAAAATAAGGAAAACTCGGCTCAGTATCGTATCTGTATAAAGTATGGACACCCCTCTGGTTATGTAAAACTACAGTCCAGTTTTGAATGTTAATTTAATTAAGTTTAGTAGTAAAGGTTATCTTGGTGTTTAATGCGCATACTTTGTCGTTTTGCCTCGCAGGAGAGCTCCAATGGCCCTGTGAAGAAGTCCATGCGTGAGAAGGCCATAGAGAGGCGCAACATCAACAAGGAGCACAACAGCAACTTCAAAGCGGGCTATGTACCCATAGAAGAAGAACGTCTTCATAAGACCGGGCTGAGAGGACGCAAGGGAAACATGGCTGTTTGCATCATAGTGCTCCTCTTCCTGCTCGCCTTAATTAATCTCATTGTAAGCCTTTTAGACTGACTGCAGTAATTTGCAAAGAAATATAACCCTTTGGACCTTTTTCCACACTTTCTTACAGTGCAACCAAACTTTATCTGGGATTTTTAGCATTCCACGTGAAAGACGGACTAAAATCAGTGTTCACTTCTGGAGTGGAAGAGCAATGATGCATGTTTTTCACAAGATTTTTACTTGTGAAAAACAGTCTTAAAAGTGTGGCATGTGTTTGTATTTAGACCAACTTGGGAGTATGCGTCAGCTACAAGCTGAACTTTTTGTTCAGCTTGTACAAGCTGAACAAAAAGCTTGTACAAGCTTTTTGTGGATTTCACAAGGAATCCACATTTAGTGGATTCCTTGTGAAATCCACTAAATGTGATCATATCAGGTGGAGAGCATCTGTACAAAGCAATTTTCAAGTTCAAATTCTCTCTGAATTTAAGTTTAAACTTTATGTGGACCATAGTAACACAAAAAAACCTGTTTAATCTTTGTTTATAATTGTTATTCTGAATGGTAGACCTCCCCTCCATACGTTTTGTGTCACCTCAAGCAGACTTTTTGCTAGGATTCTTTACCTTCATCCGTCATCCCGTTAATTATGACCAACTGTTGAAGAAAAGCATTTCCACTTCATGATGCTGCCTCCGCCATGCTTCAACATGAAGGGTGGTGTATTGAGGATGATGTGCAGTGTTAGTTGTCCTAAGTAGATGACATTTTGCATGTAGACCAATTTGGTCCCATCTTACCAGAGCTCCTTCTTTATGCCTTGTTGCAAACTGCAGACAGGACGTCTTATTATGGTTTACATTCAACAATGGTTTTCTTTGCCCCACTTTCCAAGAAAACGCAGTGAAGTTTGTGCTTGTAGCTTGACAAATGAGCTCTAACGCGACTCCGCTGTCACTCAGATCACACTGGTAATATGGACGGTGATCCGAATCGGCCCAAACGGCTGCGACAGCATGGAGTTCCACGAGAGCGGCCTGCTGCGCTTCAAACAGAAGGCCGACATGGGAATTGTTCATCCTCTGCACAAGAGCACGGTCGGCGGCCGCAAAGACCAGGACCTGGTCATCGTGGGCAACAACAACCCAGTAAGAAAACATTTACACACGGCGAGTTTTCTCCAAAGAAACGACAGCGTTTGGGAACCCAGTTAGAGCCTCTTGTCTGTTCTTTTTGCTCTGTTTTTCCAACAGGTTGTGTTCCAGCAAGGCAACACGAAGCTGAGCGTGGAAAAGGACAAGACCTCCGTCGTCAGCGACGTCGGCATATCCTTCACAGACCCTCGGACGCAGACAACTTTCTTCAGCACAGACTTTGAAAACCACGAGTTCCACCTGCCCAAAGGAGTCAAAGTCCTCAGTGTTAAAAAGGCGTCCACTGAAAGGGTGTGTAGGGAAGCCAGGCTCTGCTCTGACAGCTGTGTGTAAAAAAAAAAAAAAAAAAAAAAATGCCTCATTAATTATATTTTACAACCTGTGCAGGCGATATTGCTTTTATTGCTGTTCGTAACAGTAAAAATTGATTGAAAACGAAAGATATAGTAGATGCTGACCAAATTTCCCTTAGTTTCTTTGCCAAAAGAAAAGTGTGAATTGTTTTTGAAGTAATGTGATTGTTAACGGGCGTATTTTTGCAGTTTCTTGCAAAAATTGACTGTAATTCCAGTTGATGTGGTGCTAAAACAAAAGCACATCAAGTATGAAGTAAATGAGTGAAAAACAAGGGGGGTCTTGGAATTTTCTCTCATGTAATCCTGATGTATTTAGGTTTTTGTGTGAGGAACTGGTGCTTTTCTCATTTTAGTGACATATTTTGCTCTTTATTTTCAGATCACTAGCAGCGCATCATCTGACCTGAACATCAAGGGAGACACTAAGGCCATCATTCGCGGTAATGAGGGAGTGAACATCATGGGCCGCACTGTGGAGTTTAAAATGGGTGGAGACATTGAGCTCAGAGCTGTAAGTATGAAGCATAATGACATACTGTATTTATAGTGCTCAGAAAATGCATACACTCATTTTTAGCTCTCGGTGATTCATTTCAACTGCTCTGGAGGGATGAGACTGTAACTCCAGTTGCTCGCTGCGTTTCCATTACAAATGTGCGCAAAACTTTGTCTATTCTCTACTAATGTAAAAATAAAAAACACAATTTTGCAATCGTGATGTTCCCATTAAATAAGAAGGCCAATTGTCCGCACGGCACACAGTCACCGTTTCGAGCCCATTAAGGCCGGGTCTTGAAGAATAGACGCCCAGACGACGTTTTTCTCTTGGCAGGAGAACAGCATTGTCCTCAACGGCTCAGTGATGTTCAACGCCACACGCATTCCCAGCTCCACAGACCTGACATTCAACGACGGCCTGGAGAGGTACAAGCTCTGCATGTGCGAAGATGGGACTCTGTTCCGTGTACTGGTGAAGTTCCCCAACATGGGCTGCCAGATCTCAGACAACCCGTGTGGGAAAGCTCACTAGCGCCACCGTTCCATCCGCCTGCAGTCGTTCGACTGTGAAATCAGACAAACCTCTTCCAAACCTGCACATTTTGGACCGAGTTCAGTTTAAGTTTGAGTTTAACCTGGCGGTTAAGTTGAGCCGTTTCTCTGAGTGCCACATTTACATTTTATTACAAATCTACCCAAAGATATTACGGGAGTTCGTAAAAATAAAAAAATTAAAAAAACACATTGTTTGTTATAAGATTCATCAGCCTGTATCCTAAATTCAGAAAACTATTGTAAACACTAAAGTTGTTCTGCAGTTTACGCCGCATGTTTGTAGCAGTCGGAAGCTGCTGTATTTATTTCCTGCTTCTCCATCACCTCACATCTGTTCACAAAAGGGTTTGTGTAAAAGTGCGAACTGACTTCATCGAGACACTACAAGATAGGTAACTTAAAAATATGCAGAACTCAAACAGAACGTCTCTTTCTGCACATGTTGAACTGTTTATCATGCACGTGCCAACGGACTTAAAGGGATGAAATGTTATTTATATTTTACCTAAATTGTGAGGCTTTTCTAATGCTAATAGGAAGGAGTGTACGAGTTGTGCTAACAGAGCAGCGCCTTGCGAAAGTATTCACACCTATTGAGCTTTTCACATTTATAGTATATCGATTCCCGTCCGAATCACAATTACGCTCTACTTTGCCTCAAGATACATGAATAAAATAAAAAATAAAAAAACTAAACAATAAAATGCATTTTGTTGTTGGCCGTGTCGTGTGGAAAGTTTGGTGGGTGGGAATACTTTTGCGGCGTAAATGCTATTCTCTTTACGAGGCAATGGTGCTGAAAGTGGACGCCGTTTAGAGTGGTTTGAATTTTGTGCAATACAGTATAAAAAGTTTTTGACTGTTGCTTTGGGTTGTGTGTGGCCTGTTATGTAACAATGTTGGAGCGGACTTGATGCCTTTGGTGAGAAAAGTTTAGTTTTTCATCACTTCAACGTGACAACATGGATATGTTTAAAATAAAATAAAATAAATATCTAAAAAAAAAAACCATCCAACATTTCACTGGCTTCTTTTTCATTAAGGAAACTTGTCACTACGTGAAATCTCTTATCTGCGCTTTGCTGTGCCTCATGTGTTTACATGGTCCTTTAAAATCATAAAAAGAAATACCAGCGATCATTACACAGTGCTATCATCTGACAGAATGTGCAACCGGGGCATGGTTCTCTTAGTCATAACTGTTCGGGATGGCTTATCTTGGCATCGCATCGACGGAGGGGAAACGACGACGGTAAGGCATTAACCAGCCATGTAAATGATTGAATAAATCACTGTGACATTTTTTGGGCTGGGGCTCGTAAAGATTTGAAGGAGCAGCATCCACTTCAGACTTTGATCAGAACATGCTGGACAGTACAGTTCAGGTGTGAGAAGAGTCACAAGGTTTCCTGTCAGCCTGGTGACAGCTTTTACCCAGGTGAGTTTCTTCAACTCAAATCGCCTCGGTTTTAATTCTCAAAACTTGCCGTCAAACCACTTGATCGGGTTGCTTCTTGTCTGAAGAGGGCTGACGTTTTTCATTTCTAGTTTTAAAGGCCTGGGGTTGCCATGGCGGTACGCCGCTCGTCGTTTTGGGCAGCTGTGCTGCTCCTGGCTTCCTTGGATCTCTGGTGCTCCTCTTCCTCGCCTCCCTGTCCGGAATCCTGCATTTGCAGAGGAGCTCTGCTGCTGAACTGCTCCTCGGCTGGCCTGTCCTTAGTACCGCAGCCCATCCAGGACCCCATCGCCGAGCTCGACTTGTCTCATAACCTCCTCAGCTCTGTTGCTTTTCATCAACCGCATCCCAACCTCAGGAACCTGTGGCTGGGGAACAACAGCATCCCACACTTGTCTCTCTGCATAGAGACAACCGTCACGGCTCGACGTCTCGGGCGTCGCTCGGCGGCTGGGAGCCGGTCCAGATGCCTGAGCTGGGCCCCCGCCTTGCAGCTGCTATCAGCTGAGAGGAACCTGCTGGAGCGGCTGCCGCGGGGTGAGCAGGTGTTATATAATCATATACCCATCCACATTAAACATTATCAAGGAGAAAAAGCCTGCTGTCAGCAACATGCTAAAATCCCTCAAATCCGACCTTTAACCTTCTCTGGAAGCAAAATCATGTAATTAGGAATCATTGTTTTAGTACCAGTGGGAGTCACTGGTTTCCATAACAATCCATTAAAAATAGACATAGTTAAGGCATTTTTTAAAGAGTAGCACTTTGCGGACGCAGAATCTTCAAATCAACCACATGGGAGACAAAGTATGTTTGAGAGTAATTCCAGAAGAAAAAGCCTATTATGTCGTCACAAACAGAAACATTTTAGATTTACTGGGACTTCAACAGGAAGTGTGTGGTTTGGTCAGATGAAACTAAAATTGATCTTTTAGGAAACAAACACTGCGGCTGGGTTTGGTGGGTCAGAAAACTGACAACAGGTTATTTCAGTGGAATAATGAGCCAAGTCATAATGCCAAGTCTACACAGAAATGGATAGTTGATATTAGTCTATACACATAAATCCCATAAAAGGGACAAAATTACCGAGTTGAAAGCTCCGAGTTCAGGGGCCATGATTCTTTTTTGGGTGTACCCAAGTTAGTTCTTGAGTAAAAAGTTGCGAGATGTTTTTTCCTACTTACAATGATTTTAAAATAAAAACAAACAAAAAAAACACAATTAGTTAAAAAAAATACTTTGTGCCTCTCCTAATATTTTCTATGTAAGAAGATGCAAATTTGTGATTCTTGAACTGTGGTCAAGGGACGAACCAAATGGTTTTTTTCCGAGAACTGCAAATGGCCCCCAGGCTGCACTTTGAACACCCCGATCTTGAGAGATTGTGCAAAGGCGACTGAGAGATCCCTCTCTCTGTATCGTCACACTGCGTCCGCACACTATGCATGTTGCCTGAGGGAAAATAAAATCCCAAGAATCCCTCTGCACTGTGCAAGATTATAACATAGAAATGCTGTCCAGGATAAAAGGACAGCATTTTGCATGCTACATGAGTTAATGTGGGTACATTTCCAGGGCTGCTGCACGCAGGATTGTGAAATCTTGGTTGATGATTGTCACATGATTATGAATAATAATAATAATAATATTAATAAAGCAGGCCTCTTATGTATATTTTTAGGCCGTAGCACACCCCCGTTATCAACAAACAAAAATGTGTACAGCCCTGATAAGGAACTCGTGTTTAAATATAACATTTCTATGTAAAATAAATCACAAAAGGAGATTTTAATGATTAATGCTGATGTCGCACCTTTTTTCTCACATTTGTGTCGTTTTATAGTTGCAATTTTCCGCCTTTGTTGTCAGCTTTAAATATTAAAAACCCCACACCTTGTTATTGGTGAAGATAAATGATAAAAAAAGATGTTCAGCAATTATAGGTTTGTTTTTAGTAATGCTAATAAATATGTTTCCGTTAATTATCAAGAAGGGTCAAGATAATCTGACATTAACCACTAAAAATTCATTCATTATTAATTTTCAAAATGAGACTCACTTTACTTTGTTTTATTATCTTTGTACCCGACTAATTTCAGTGTCGGGTATGTTGGTTCTTATCTGGTGTGTACTCTGTAGAGCGTGTAAATCAAGGTCAGACTGACAGAACTGGACCATGAGCGACAAAATGATCCAAACTAATATTTAATTTAAATCAATATTTAGGTAATCTAAATATTTTGGATGTTTAAATGGAGACGGATGCAGTGACCCAGTGAAGCCAGTTTGTTTAACCGAGTTCCCAGAAAGAAATCTTTTTTTTTTTTTTTAGGAGTGGCAGGAGAAAAACATTCATCTGATAACTTCTGCAGACACGCCTTTATTTGCCGTATGGAATGAAGTTAGGAAATGGCTGAGTTACTAAAACTGGCTAAATTGATCAGGCTTTGGTAAAAAAAAAAAAAAAAAAAGGCATAATTAAGTATAAATCTAAAAAAGGAGCTTATACTCCCAGTTTGTAATTGTTCGGATTTGCCTTTCAATTCCACACATACACAAACCCTTTCTATCCTTTATCTTTAGAACTTTGCACCATGCACAAATGAGCGAACCTCCCAAGATAATGATGCCGTTGTTACGGTTTATATTGACATTCCATTGACTTAACCAAGGTGTGAGTGTGCAAATGAAATATTTATGATTTCATTGTTTCACAGGCCTCCCTGTGCTTGACTGAATATGTTTTTTCTTCCTTGGAAAAGTATTTCTTTAGCTTTGTGCTGTTTGAAGAGCTGCTTTGAGAGTCCTGAGGCCCAGTTCTGGTTAGGTGGAGGAAAAAGGATACATAGCATTCTACTGGAAGTAGAAATATGAATGTGTAGCATGCATCGCTCTATCAGTCTTCCTACATCAATGCTTTCAATAACTCAAGCCTCTTGAGGTTTGCCTTTACCAGATTTGCACATGTAGAGACAGTGAGCTGGCCTATTTGAGAGATTGGATGGAGAGCACTAGTTTTCAAGCTTTGGTATAAATTGTAAATTAGATTTTCTGGACCTGACTATATATGGATATGTTTTGATCTGGATTATCCCATTGCAGCTCTGGTCGTTTGTTTATGGCCTCCTGGAAGGTTAATCTCTACCACTATCTTAAGTCTTTTCCAAGTTAATTTATTGCTTTATTTGTCCAGAACAACTTCCATATACTTTCTGTTTCTTCTACCTTGCCTATATCAAAGTTCGAACAGAAAATGTTTTTTTTGTTGTTGTTGTTTTGGCTTCCTCTGTTCTGTCTTTGTCAGTCCTCTGTTATTCTGCTGAGATATGAACTTAAAGACGAGAGGATAATAAAACTGAAGTCAAATTTCAGAACTTCGATGTGTCAAATTCAGGACCATCAGTGACCCTATCTGCCACCTTTGAGTTTTCCCTTTGGTCCCATGTTAAAAAAAAAAAAAAAAGTCAGTCACCACAAAGCTAGGAGTAAAACTGGATGGCATGGCAACCTAAAATTTACCTGCCATATCAATACTGTGGTTAAGTCGTCTTTCTTTCAGCTGAAGCTCTGGTCAAAAATCAAGACCCTAAATTCTAGGCGCCAGCCAGACGCAGTGATCCATTACCTCACATCTGGATTATTGTGACTCCCAGGCCTCCCTGGTACATCTGGTACAAAATTCTGCTCCATGATTTTTAACCGGTGCAGGTAAACGAG